AATAATAAAAATATGTAAAATAATAAAAATATAAAATATAATAAAATTAATAATAAAATTCAAAATATTACAAATAGATATAATACTAAATATTCTTAAACTTCATTTAATTCATAAAATTAGGATTATTATCAGTATTTAAAAGATCTTCAGAATTATGTAGATCTTCTGTATTTTCAGAATTTGCAGAATTCTCAGTATTTTCAGAATTCTGGATTAAGAGATCATTATACTATGTCATCTATGTGACTTCATTATGATTGGTCAATTGCTCCATTGATAATGTTAAAGTTTTACTATTTATAAATAAAAAAATATTATAATTTAATATATAATTTATTATTTTAAATGAAAATGAAATGCAAAAACTTAAAAGATTAATGATTTATCTATCAAAAAAATGATAATCTTACTACAGATAATTATATTCATATTGATAATGAAATTGAACGTGTATTTACTAATGAAGAAATATTAAAAATAATAATAAATAAAAAGAATAAATAGAATGAAAAAGATAAATTTGTTCATAAAATAATAAAAGAAGTAGAAAAATAACTTTAACAAAAGCTAAAATATGTATAAATAAAATAATAAAATTTTTATATGAATAAGAATCAAAATTTAGAGTAATTAATAAAAAAATAAAAATTTTAAAAGATTATATAGACAAGTTAGATTGATGATCATAAAAAATATTAAATAAATTAACCTTTATTATTTTGAAATAGGAAGTAAAAGTGATGTTTAAAATAGAAATTGAATTTTACCAGTCATGAATTTGAAAAGAAAATATTTTACCAGCAAATAATCCAGAATCTTATAAAATTTATCAGTTATATAAATTTTTATTAATTTATTAATAATTTAAAAAATAAGTTTTATTATTTATTAGAGAAAAATCAAATTCTTTGTTTACATGCATTATTTTAAATTTGTATCACTCTATTAAAATTAATTTAAATAAATCTTTTCTTCTAATTCAAATATCATTTAAAAATGTAATGTTTATTATTTAAAGGATTTTGCAAATCAGTTTTTACAATCCAATTTTTTTTGAAATAAAAAGTATTATTTTTTTAATACTTTGTATTTTTTTTAATATTATATTTTTATGATTAATATTTCGTATTTTAACATGAATCTCTCTTATTAAATTTAAATCTAGATTATTAGAATCTTTATTTTAAGATATAGTATTAACTTTCATGTTTTCTTCATTAGAAATTAGTATTTTTATTTTAAAATATTATTTAATAAATATTTTTATAATAAAAAAAATCATATGATATACAATTTGATATAAAATTATAAATGATGATTATTTTATTATATTATTATATGCTACATACATAAAATTTTGTTAGATAAAAATATGCTGACTAAAAATCTGAAATCTGAAAATTTTATTGGATATCTTTCAAAAATTCCAACTTTTGTTAGAATTTATAGTATTATTTTAAATACTGATTAAAAGTTTATTTTATTTTTTATATAAAACTTTAGGTATTAAATAAAGAAATATAATCATTTTTATTGCTATTTTAACCATTAATTTTCAAAATTAAATATTAAATAAAGCACATTTATTAATTTATATTAAATATGTTTTTATTGATTCGCTTTATATACTAAACTGTTCAGTATATAAAAAAGATTTAATAACAAACTCTGATTATAACAAATCAAAATGTCTCAGTTTGATAAGTTTATTATAAACAAAGTTGATTGTATTTGGAATTAATGCTAATACTAGTCAGTTAAAAAAACCTTGTAAACATGAATTTGCTACTTTAATTATTTGTTAAAATCAATGAAGATCAAGTTCTATATTGTTACGTTTTTATACAAAACTTTTATAAGTATTGTAACTTGCTTAACAAATGTAAGAATTTTTGCTGAATCTAAAAATAAATCTAATAAAAATAATTATAAATTATGTAATATACATAAAACTTACTATTTACTATATTTTTTTCTTTTATTTTTTAACACTTGCCTATGAATAATAAGTATGACATAGTTGTTACCCAACTTTCAAGTAACTAAAGTAAATATAAGTTCCTTTTGCTTGCACTTTTGATAGGCTAGCAAAGTCAATTTACGAAATCGAGCATTTTCTTTATTACAATTTTGTATAACACACGGTTCATTTTTTCGAACATGAGAAAACGCGTGATTATCATGTGATTGACCTGAAATTTCTAGCCAATTATATCTTGATGATCATCATAATTATCAACCATACTAGCCAACGCACGATTTAAGACGTGTTTTCTTTTAAAAACCGTGGAATCTTCACTTTATTTTAAACTCAAGAAACAAATAATACAACTTAATCAATAATTAAAGTAAAAGTTGCAAATATGAAAACAGATTCTAAACAACAGGCACAAATTGCTTTTCCTGGACTAACGCAAAAGAATACTTCGGCAGAAACCAAAGCTTTGGAACATACCAAACAAGTATTTTCACAATATGAGCAATCTGCTGAAGAAAATAAAGTTAAGGTTATTCATTTTGAACTCAAATGAAGCACATTCTAACGCAGACAAAATACAAAAAGTACTAACGAAATTATTTATCCGAAACGCGATCGTAAACAAAAGGTTGCAGATAACGATCAAAAAACTAATGAAAAAGTATTTAAGAAACAGCCAAGGCTTAGAAACCAAGGGTTAGTAGAATCATATGAAGTTCCTGGTAACCTCCGTGGTAGTGAGAAAATGACTGATACCAAAGAATTTTATAAAGGATATTCTTGTAAGTATGTAATCAGACTTATTTTCTTTGAACTTCTCTTTTAGCAATTTACTAATAAATAAACCTCTTCAGTCATTTGTACTTATATAAAAAGAAACGCAAATCATTGTTCATTTAGTGGATTTTTAGAGTTTTACCAAGAAATAATCATAAATTCTCCACCGGATACTGATGACTGGGCTGGGTTAGAAGCAACATGGAAAAGAAGGTTTTTAAGGGCTGTAAAGGAGATATTTCCAGATGGATATGGTGATGATATTTATGTAAAGGTTCGATATTTGTTGGAAAATTTTCTTAGTATAAGCAAAAGGGGGCTCCTGGTTGATCGTTGTCTTGATCAGGGGTATTCGGTCGACGTCCCGGCCCAAGTGATTGTGGTTGCGCTTCATAGTTGATCGTTGGTCTCGACTTTTAAGTATCTGGTCGTTGTCCTGGGCGCCATCATTGCGACTTGCTTTTTACTTTAATTTTGTTATGAAGATATTCACAAAAACACGAATTACTAATTTATTTGTTTTCCATAAAAGGTGCAATCAGAAGCGTCAAACAGTTCTTATTGGCAAAAAATTATTAATGAGAAAAAACAAGTTAGGATTATATTTTGATTGTTTGTTTTCATGCCGGAATATTCACACATCTTCAATATTTAATTATTCAATAGGTTTCTATAATGAATAATCATATATATGGGAGTCTAAGTATATTGGATGTATCAGCTAAATATAATACGGAAATTATTGCTTCAAAGATTTTAAAACGTCAAGGTCAAGAACAGGTTAGCTTATTAAGAATTTAATCTAGCTCTTTTTCTAATTTATTAAAAGTTTTATTTGTATTCTTACGATTACGCAACAGACGCTACAAAATGATCCTGGTGAAACAGAAGAATATGAATTTGAGGAGATAGGCAAAGGTATTATGCTTAATATTAATTAATATAGTTCTGATTTGATTTCAAATATCTTTATAACTTTCGTGTTTTCTGACATTCTTTTTCTATGCAATTGATAATGATAATGATTTAGGCTATAAGACTCCGCAAGATAAGATAGACGATGATTGTATATTAAGAGCTGCTGCTGAAAGCTTAGTAAATTTGGATGATGCAAATGATTCAAAGGTATCTTTTTTACTTGATTATTTAAATAGGCTGTTTTGTTGTATTTATCAAATATTTAAATGTTCTTTATATTGAATAGTATTTCAAGGAATTTATTCCTCTTTTCTATAAATATAAGGAAACACAAGATAAAGATCCATATTCGTAAGTAGCCTATCTTTAAAGATATTTCCTTATTAAATTGTGCCATTGAAATACTAATTTCTTAATGCAATAGATACGCAAATGACGATGTTATGGACATTCGTGGTGACAGTGGATTTTCTAAATTTTTGTCATTGGATCAATATATCAAACTTATGTCTGTTAAACCAAGGAGAAAAGCAGTGCTTCCTAAATGTTGGCAACAAATTTTAGATGATTACTTTTCGGTAAGCTTAAAGAAAAGTGTTTTCTATTTTTTTTTTATATTAGCCCCTAATACTTTTTGAATCATATTCATATTTGCAGAAGACTGTTAAAAATGAACCCAAAAAACTATCTGATTGGATTGAAGCAACCAAAGATCTTTATTTTAATCAAAGATGGTGATAGTAATGAAGCTACTCAATTTAAAAATTATCTCTACAAAGTAATGTTGCCATTGTAAGTATTAAGGATTTAAAATGACATTTATTTAATTAATATCATTTATTTTATTACTTGTTGTAACTAATGTTTTACATTTATTTTATGTTTTAGAGTTGAATCCTTTTTAAAGCCTTTACCAGATATTAGTGCGTTACGAACATCAGAACATCATTATTGGTCTGAATTTGGACATCGGTTTTTTTCCAAAGCATTACAAGATTTTGTAAATTTGGATTGGAGAATGTAAGTGTTAATTTAATTGAAACTTTGTTAATACATTAAATTGTGTAATAATATTTTTTTTCTTTTACTAGTTTAGAAGTTCCAGTATATGCTTTTAAATATCGAAAAAATTATGGAATAAATCACATTTTTCAGAAAGTCGTTGATGGAAAGTCAGCTGATATTTTAGCATGGACTTGGGATTCAGGAGAAGAAGTATTTGTAGGTGAACAAGCTGGCCCACCAACTGTGCAAGATTTAACGAAATATGCTTTCGATTCGTTTAAATTATATAGAGAATTGAGAGATTGTTTAAATGTAAGAATATTATGAGCATTGAGCATTGGGGATGCAAATTACAATAGTCGTTCCGTTTTTGGAATACTTGGTTATTTATATGATATAAAAATGATGATAATGTGGAAGGACGGAGTTTATATCTATGAAGAATTTGGCAACTTTACCATAGCAACAAATCCAACAATGATTCATAATATGAAAGCTGGCATGATCAAACTTTTGGAGTTTATGGTAAATCTTACTTGTAGTGTTGATTGAATTATTATTATTATTATCATTACTTTAATGCATTCTAAATCATTATTTTATAGATTTTGATAAAGGAAGAAGTATCTAGGGTTCCCAACTATCAACTTTGATAATGATAGCGTCCAAATTTTAAAAAGGAAATTTTACGAAATCGTCCAATCTCAAGAATCTCCACCTAAAACTAAAAAGAAAAAGGATTTATAATATATGGGACCTTTGCAATAGAAAGGGGGGAAACAGCCGGAAAAATCAATTTTACTTTTATATGCAAAATATGATTTTTAAGTCAAAATATGTTCAGATTTAGCATTAACTCAATTTTTATTTTTTCCAGCCGTTTCCCCTTTTTCTATTGCAAAGGTCCCATATAATTAGCAGTATTCCTGATTTTTTTTTTTTTTTTTGATTATTCCGAAACGTTATATTAGATTTTGTTTTTTATATAATCGTTATTTTGTTTATTTGTCCGATTATTGACTTTTTTTTTTTTCCTTATTTGTCCTTAAAACTTTTTTATGTATCGTATCATATGACAAGATCATTTGGTAGAATAACAATATACAAATAATTTAAAAAGGTATCATTGTATTATTAATCGCATGAGTAAATTTAACCAAAAATTCATGGATTTACCTTTAACTCTAATAATATCTTTAATACTCTGGATATACTTAAAATTAAATTATGTAATGTTTTTATATTTATATTGCCCACTCTTCTTGTGCCACTCTAATTAATTCCTGTTTTGATATTGGCTCTTTCGTATTTGATGATCTAAATAGCTCCATAAGTTTTCAATTGGTTTTCAATTAGGACTTTGTGATATCTAACCTAAAAGTGGAATGATCAAGTTGTATATAATGATGTATGATACAAATCTAAATCTCTTTGAAATATTAAATTTGGATTGTTGCAAGCCTATAGTACTAAATGATTTGCAAAAATATACAAAATTTATTATTACTAATAATACAACTTTATGCCAATAAAATAATCCCAAAATATTATTGATCTTTCATTAAATTTAATAATTTTTTATTATAAGCTTTTCTTATTCTTTATTATACTTTTTTACCTATCCATCTGATTTAAATAAAGCAAATCTAAACTTATCTGACTATATAATTTATTTCTATTCTTTATTTCAATTATATTTAATTTGATATTATTTTAATCTTGAAATTTGTTACTAATTAGTTAAAAGAGGTTTATTAAACTTTAAATCAAGGTTATATATAAAACTGAAATTAAAATCCAAAAGTAAATATTTATACTTTAAGATTACAGTTGAAATTAAAAGTAGAAATCAATTACAAGATTGAAATTAATTACAAGAATCAAAATCAAATGAGGGTCAAAATTCATTATAAAGATCAAAATCAATTATAATGGTTAAAATGATCAAAATAATGATCATATCTAAATATGAAAATAATTTCTATATTTAAAAATCATAGTTATATAATAGTATTGATTGTATAATAATGAAAATTATCAAAAATAAATTTTGTGAAATGGGTATTACTGAAATAAAAATAATCTGCATAGTCGTATATACATACAGTCCCTATTAAAAGTAATGGTGAACAGTTTTTTTAACCTTATAAATATAATTTTATATCAAATATAGGTAAATTTTTTTTTAAAATAAAGATAAAAACAATATTTATAAATTTTATTAGATAATTAATATGTAGTGTATCTTCCATTTGTATCAATACATGCTTGAATTCAATTAGCATGCTATTGATACAATTAAGTAATATTGAGTTATTAAGATTATTCCATTCTTCATTAAAAAAAATTTTATTTGAAATTTTTTTTGTGCAATTAATATTTTTAATATTTTTCATCAATTTTTTTTAAAAAAACAGCGCAAATATTGTACGTTCCTATTCCAAAGGAACTTTATAACTTCGCAATTCATTTTAATAGATGTTGATGGTATTGTGATTTCGGTGAGTAATAAAAAGTTCAAATGGGTTTAATTTATTTTTTTTATTGTTTATTTTATATAAAAATTCTATTATCCAATTTGGTCTAATAAACAATGAGTCAAATTGGGATAACGGAGTTACTGTAGTCTACACAAGAAGCAATGTCCCCAACTGCCATTATTTTTGATGGGGACTGTAAATAAACTTTGGTCTTTTGATCAATAATTGAAGTATCATATTACAAAATCAGCATATTCTAATTTAAAAAATACATTACAAATTATAGTATAAATACAAAGTGTAAGATTTTATTTAAACAATAAATACAATTACTAAATAAATAAGATAGAATACTTTATTATATTATTTAAAATTCTTAGATATCAATTCAAAAGTTTTTAATTTTGATTTATTTGTGATTCAATCAAATCAATAAAATTATTATCAATATTTATTACTTATATAGTGTTATAATTATCCTTTTATTAATTAAAAAAGGATGTTAAAAAATAAAGCACATCCTTTATAATCCATTTTTTTTAAAATTTTTCAATATATATCAGAGTAATAATAATCTAATTTTATTATTAGAATAATGCAGTATTATTAGTTTTTGACAAATTTGATAATAAACATACTTATTATTATTATACAAAATATATAATTTGTTCTCTAAAATCTTTTTTAATAAAACTTATCCTGATAAATTCTCAAACTCCTTAAAAATGACTGCTATTATAAAATTTATATTTTCATATTTTTTTCTTTTAGTTGAAGCATTTTCACTTTGAATTTTTAAATAAGTATCAGTACTTTTTTCTTTACCTTTTCTTTGAATAAAATTATCTGTTATTCTAAAAGAATCAAGTTTTTTTTATTGCAATATATTTTTAGACAAGTTTAAACTATTGTTATTTTTATCAAAATTCATAATTACAAAAATAAATAAAAGGTTATTAATATTCTTAATATATTTAAAATTGGATAAAGTATACAAAAAGTAAGTTTTAATTATTAAATTTTATATATACAGAGGGTGATTACAGGTATCTGAATGATAAGTATTTTTTGTTTATTCGCTTTATTTACATATTTACATATATTTCTAATTTAAGCATTTGTTTAGAATATAAATGGATATCGATCACAATAATAACAAATAATTTTCTTTTAAACAAAAATAGTTAAAACAAAAGAATTAAATGCTGAATAATATGAGGCAATTCTTTATGGTCACAAATGAGATGATTCATATTAAAAAATTATTGACATCATTTAATGTGATAAAATAATTGTCTATGATGCAATAAAACATTATAAAGAAACTGGTTCTGCAATACCAAAAAAACATTGTGATCTGAAATCACTTTTTAATTTAAATGCACAATCTTCACTCAAAAAGATTATTACACAAAATTTAAAGCATCGTCACCTTATCACTCAAAAAATTCAAGAATTATAAACTAAAAAAAAGAAAGTTTCAACTATTACAATTCGTTAGACTCTTAAAAAAGTTAGCTTACATTCATATGTTGTCTGCTCTAAACCATTAATTTCTGAAAATAATAAAGAAAAAAGATTGACTTGAACATTGAAATGAAAAGATTGAATAATTGTAAAATGGAAGAAAGTTGTATGGTCTGATGAATCAACATTTAGCTAATTTTTACAAAGTCATAGCTTACGTGTGTAGCGTATACCAGAAAAAGAATTTGACCCTTCTTGTTTAACTGCTACAGTAAAACACAGTTTCAGTCGAATATTTTGAGGATGCTTTTCGTGGTATAGGCTAGACCTCTTGTTCCTCTTTATGAATCTATAACAGGATAAGATATGTAAAGTGTTACAGAAGTATGCTATTCCTTCAATTTACAAATTAGTTTCTCACAAACAAAGAATTTTTCAAGAGGATAATGCTCCACCTCATCAAGCAAAAATTGTCACTAATGTTCATAATACCTCTAAGTTTTTTATGCTACTCTAGCCTGCACAAAACTCTGATTTAAATCCTATTGAAAATTTTTAGAATGAAGTTGATAAGAAACTTTGTAACTTGCCTAATCAACCTAAAAATATAAAAGATTTAAAACGTAAGGTAAAATATGCTTGCTCAATAAAAAATTTGATATAAAAATTCCATAAAAATATTAAGTTTTATAACGTATAACTTTTATGGAAAATCAGTATA